CGGCGACCGCGGCCGGCTCGGGCCGTCAGACGTTGGGACAGGTCAGGTGCCGGGCTGGCGGAAGCCGTCCCCCGGGTGAGGGCCGCAGCGGGCCCGGCCGATTCAGCCTCGGGGGCCTCGTGAAGCGAAGCCGGGGAAGAGCGGCGGGCGGCGCAGCGGGCAGTGTCAGGCCGGAGGGCTCGCCTTCCGCCCGGGCTCGGGGTCGGCCGCCCGCGCAGCCTCGGGTACCGGGGTAACAGCTGCTGCGCGCCGACAGCTGCCCCTGCCGGCTCTCCTGCCCGCTCCCGGCCCGGGAGGTGCGCCCGCGCCTTCCGCAGCCGGTCGGCCTCTGCACCCTCCCAGGCCGGGGGACGGGTCTGGACCAGGCCCCGGGCGAGGTGGAGCCATGATCTGATCCTGAGACTCAGGCTTGGGAAAGTAGAGCCCGGGGCGGCACGCCGGGCTGTAAAGAACGTTGGTCGTCTGCCTAAGCGTTCCCACCGAGCACTCTTGAGCACTTGGGTTGTGTGTCTTGAAATAGCCGTGGGTCTAGCGACCAGGGAAGGAGGCCTGGAAAGAAGCAGCCGGTCGAGGGGCCGAGTGTGGGAAGCAGTAACGCCGCTTTGCCTTTTCCTAGCAGTGTCGTGCACCCCCTGTCACCCCGTTTTCTTGAAAGTCAAAGCACTTAAGCACGCCTGTTCTGTTAGAAGGGTAAGTATTCCAGTGTAACTTAAATTCAGTAAGGGGCGGAATCCGTGATGGCTCCCTGCCTGGTACTGCATACCTTGGAGTATAGGCAGTGTTGTGTTAAGGGAAGATAGTTTTTCCGTCTGTTGTGTTTCCTTTTTAGTATCTAATAACTTCCTACATCAGAAAAAAAAATTGTCATCTTTTCTGTACATTCATTTTCATCCTAATATTTGTGGCTCTTGACAGAGCTTTCCCATTTTGGTTAGAACACATACTTTTCATTCATTCATTCATGTTTTCATGTGTTCGCTAGTATAGCAGCTTTTGGATTGCTGGAACTGGAATATATACCCCCAACTCAGATGTTGACATCAGAAGATACTAGGAAAACTTTTACAGTTGGCGTGTATCTGGAAAAATGTGATAATCCTTCCTTTGACATTTAACACAGGAATTAACACAGGTGATGTGAGTGATTCACTACAAAGGAAAATACATCTTTTTTGTACTTAACAAAACACTGTAGGGTTTGAGACTGGGAAGGAAGGGACTGTGTGCTGCCAGTCATTCATTTTTGTGGACAAACTTTGAGCACTCACTCCATTGTTGTGTGCTGAGGTTCCAAAAATTTCTGTCCTCCTGGAGCTCAGTTCTAGACACATAAATGCTTACTTAGGGAAAAATAAACAGATGCTTCTCAACTTAATGATGGGCCTACAGCTCTATAAACTGACTGGAAGTTGAAAATATTGTAGGTAAAAAATGCATTTATTATATCTAACCTGTGCATCATAGTAGCAAAGTCCACTGTGGGATCGTGATTTCTTTCCCCTGTGATCCTGTGGCTGGGTCTCGTGGCTCTCTGGTACTGGCCAGCATTGTCATGGAACCACATATTGCTAGTCCAGGCAACAATCAAAATCCAAAATTTGAAGAATGGTTTCTCTTGAGCTGTTTTTACATCGTAGTAAAATGAAAAAAATCCTAAGTTGAACAACTCTGTGTCAGGGACCATCTGTATAGTGTAGTAACTGGTGGTGTAAAAAAATGAGATGGAGAGTCAGGATAATAGTTGTGGAAGGGGTTAAAATTTAAGTCCTGTGATTGGGCGTGGTGGCATGCACCTTTAATCCTAGCACTCAGGAGGCAGGGGCAGGCGGATCTCTCTGAGTTCAAAGCCAGCCTGGTCTACGTAGTAAGTTCCAGGACAGCTGGGGCTACAGGGAGACCCCGTCTCAAAAAAATTAAAAAAAAAAAAAAAAAAAAAATTAAGTCCTCTGAAGAGGCTTTGTGGGTAAGCTCAACTTTGAGGAAACATTTGATAGCTAGAGAGGAAAGAGTTCTTTAGGCTTCAAGGCAACAAGGGCAAAACCATGAGACCAGAGCTGAGGTGAGAACTATGGAGGATCTGGGGGTGGGTGGAGACAGCACTGAGGCTAGCCTAGGCAGAGAGACTAAAAGTGAGAGGGAGCCTGGTAGAAATGTGTTGTGAAGTCTTTATGACTGTGTATGTGAGTGACTATGTAACCTACACTGGCCTCAAACTTGGCCATTTTCCTGCCTCAGTCTCCCAAGTGCTGAGATCTCTTAGAAAAACCAGATTCTGTAGACTTGAACCAACATCCCTGCACTCCCATTTGGAAAACTCAGGATGTTCATGTATTTCAGGGAATTATAATAAATTATCTTAAAAGTAACTTTTTGAATGAAATTGGTGTTAGGCTGTCTGGAAGTACTTTTCAAAAGGAATGGTTTTTTTGTTTTATTTCATGCAAATGAGTGTATTGCCTGCATATATGTAGGTGCACATATGCCTTATAATGTCTGAGGAGGTCAGAAGAGGGCATCAAATCCTCTGGAACTGGAGTTACAGATGGTTGTTAGCCATCATGTGGGTGCTGGGAATCGAACCTGGGTCCTCTGCAAGAGCAGTCAGTGCTCTTGACCATTGAGCCATCTTTCTAGCCCTAAAAAGGAATAGCTTTTTTTTTTTTTTTTTTTTTTAAGTCTTTTTGAAACAGGGTCTCCCTGTAGCCCCAGCTGGCCTGGAACTCATTATGTAGACCAGGCTGTCCTGGAACTCAAAGAGATTCCCCTGCCTCTGTCTCCTGAGTGCTGGGACTAAAGGTGTGTGCCACCACGCCCTGCAGGGATAGCTTTTTAAGAATGGTATCTTTGGGGCTGGAAGGATGGCTTAGCAGTTAAGAATATTGGTTGTTCTTGCAGAAGACCTGGGTTCGAATCCCAGTACCCACATGGCAGCTAACAACTGTCTGTAACTCCAGTTCCAGGGGATCTGACAGCCTCTT